TTTAGATACAAATCTAGTTCATTCAAGATGGATCTGGGACATTCGAATTGATCCTGCAGTAAAGGACAAAATTATGGTGAAATCTAGGAAATGAAAACACAGAAAGAAGCAATTCGGACATGACCCCACAAGTCACATTGGATAGTAAACAGTATTGGAACACAGAACATAAAACAGTACAGAACAGGAACAGGCCCTTCGGCCCATCCTGTCTTTGCTGACCATAATGCCATTCTAAACTAATCTCATCTGCCTGCATATGGTCCATATTCCCCTATTTCCTGCCTGCATGTGTCTGTCTAAATGCCTCTTAAACACTGTGATAATATCTGCTTCTACCATCTCCCCTGGCAGCACATTCCAGGCACCTACCACCTTCTGTGTAAAAAATTTGCCTCGCACATCACTTTAAACTTTCTGTGAAGGGTCACTCAACACAAAATGTTAACTCTGATTTCTCTGCACAGATGCTGCCAGACATGCTCAGCTTTTCCATCAATTTCTATTTTTACCTTTAAACTTACCCCTCTCACCTTAAACCTATGCCCTCTAGTATTTGACATTTCCAGCCTGGGGGAAACATAAGAACATAAGAACTAGGAGCAGGAGTAGGCCATCCAGCCCCTCGAGCCTGCCCCGCCATTTAATAAGATCATGGCTGATCTTTTTGAGACTCAGCTCCACTTACCCGCCCACTCACCATAACCCTTAATTCCTTTACTGTTCAAAAATTTATCTAGCCTTGTCTTAAAAACATTCAGCGAGGTAGCTTCAACCGCTTCACTGGGCAGGGAATTCCACAGATTCACAACCCTTTGGGTGAAGAAGTTCCTCCTGACCTCAGTCCTACATCTGCTTCCCTTTATTTTGAGGCTATGCCCCCTAGTCCTAGTTTCACCTGCTAGCTGAAACAACCTCCCTGCCTCCACCTTATCTATTCTCTCCATAATCTTATATGTTTCTACAAGATCTCCCCTCATTCTTCTGAATTCCAATGAGTATAATCCCAGTCTACTCAGTCTCTCCTCATAATCCAACCCTCTCAACTCTGGAATCAACCAAGTGAATCTCCTCTGCACCCCCTCCAGTGCTAGTATATCTCTTCTTAAGTAAGGAGACCAAAACTGCACACAGTACTCCAGGTGTGGCCTCACCAGGACTCTATTCAGCTGCAGCATAGCCTCACTGTTTTTAAACCCCATCCCTCTAGCAATGGCAGACAAAATTCCATTCGCCTTTTTTATTACCTGTCTACGCCAATTATCTATAGAAAAAACAAGGAAACAAAAAAAAACTTCTGAGGGTACACAGGTGGCATGACTGGCAAATTATTGGAAATCGAAACTCACATTCAGAACTGTATTGCTACTTTACGTCATCATCTGTTTGATCGACTGTCATTGTAACTATAGCTACAAGTTCAAATAAAAATATGAAACAGGAGTACAACCTGTATCATGACAAAGGGACAGCTAGGATTGATGATAGCAATTATTTTTTGCTCATGCACAAGACGTAAGCATGACTGGCTAGGCCTGCATTTATTGCCTATCCTTGATTACCCCAGAGATGGAGGAAGTGAGCTGCCTTCTTGAATCACTACAATCTTTGGGTTGTAGAGATACCCACAGTGTTGTTAGGAAGGGAGTTGCAGGATTTTGACCCAGTGACAGTGAAGGAACAGTGATATAGTTCCAAGTCAGGATGAAGTGTGGATTGCTGAGGGACTTGCAGGTGGTGCCATTGTTCCTTCTTGGCGGTAGAGGTCACAGGTTTGGATACAGGTAGTTCTCCTATAACGTGATAGTTGCATTCTTATGTGACCTTGCGCTATATAGAATCGCACTATCGAAAATCACCATAGAAAATCAAGTGTAGGGAAATCGCTATAGAACATCGTTATACCTGTACAGCAGAAAGTTCACATTAGCCAAACCGCATCCACTATTCATCAATCGCGTTACAGCCAATTTGTGTTAACGAAGCATGCATTATAGCAGAACTATCTGCATACTGTCGAAGGAGTCTTACTGAGTTACCACAATGCACCTTATGGAATGTATTATGGTACCACTTGCATGTTGATGGTCATGGGTGGGTGGCAATCATCCGTGTAGATAGTGGACAGGTACTGGAGAGAGAGGAAGTTATATTTGCAGCAGGTTACAGGCTAGGAATCCTCTAGCAAGTAACTCATCTCCCAACTCCCCAAAGCCATCCATCATTTATTAGGGCCAAGTCAGGAATACACCCAACATGCCTGGGTGAGTGCAGATCCAACAACACTCAAGAAATTTGACGTCATCCAGGACAAAGCAGCCCACTTGATTAAAACCACAAACGTTCACTCCCTCCACCACCAATGCATAGTAACAGTAGTGTGTACCAACTACAGGACACACTGCAGAAATTCACCAAGACTCAGACAGGGCCTTCCAAACCCACAACCACCAGCCTCTAGATGGACAAGGGCAGCAGATAAATGGAACTCCTCCACCCAAAAGTTCCCCTCTGAACCACTCACCGTGCTGATTTGGAACTTTATTTGCATTTCTTCATAATCAGTGGATCAAAAACATTGAGCTCATTCCCTAACTGCATTTTGGATGTGCCAAGATCAAATGGACTGCAGATGTTCAAGAAGGCAGCTCATCATCATCTTTTCAAGGGTAATTAGGGATAGGCAATTAATGCAGGCCCAACAAGAGAAACCCAAATCCCCTGAATTATTGCAAAAAAAGAATGTTTAGCATTTGACGTGCTCATGTAGCCACAGTTCTGGTCAATGGTAACACCCAGGGTGTTGATAATGGGGAATTCAATAATCATAATGCCATTGCAAGTCAAGGGAAGATGATTTGATTCTCTTATTGGAGGTGGTAATTGCCTGACACTTGTGCAGAATGAATGTTTTGAGGGGTTAATGAGCAATTTAGACAAAGGAGAGCCAGTGGATGTGACTTATTTGGATTTCCGGGAGGCCTTTGACAAGGTGCTGCACTGGATGCTGCTAATTAAGATAAGAGCCCATGGTGTTAGGGACAAGGTACTGGCATGGATAGACTGGCAGAAGGCAGAGAGGAGGGATAAGGGTGTCTTTTTCAGGATGGCAGCTGGTGACCAGTCGAGTTCCACAGTGGTTTGTATTGGGACCAGAACCATTCACACTAATGATCTGGAAGATTGAATTGAGGCCATTGTTGCTACATTTGCAGGTGACACAAAGATAGGTGGAGGTTGAAGTAGTGTTAAAGAATCGGGGAGGCTGCAGGTGTTGTTCAGGCTCAGAGAGTGGGATAAGAAGTGTCAGCTAGAATTGAATGAGGGAAAGTGTGAGGTTATACACTTTGATTGGAAGAATAGAAGTCTAGGCTATTTTCTAAATGGGAAAAGGCTACGGAAATCTGAAGCACAAAGGGTCTTGGGTGTCTTAGTTCAGGATTCTCTTAAGGTTAACATGCAGATTGAGTTGACAGTTAAGAAGCCAAATGCAATGTTAGCATTCATTTCAAGAGGGCTAGAATATAAGACCAGAAATGTACTGCTGAGGCTGTATAAAGGTTTGATCAGATCGTATTTGGAATATTGTGAGCAGTTTTGGGCCCTGTATGTAAGGAAGCATGTGGAGGAGGTCCAGAGGAGGTTTACAAGAATGATTCTCAAGGCTGAAGGGCTTGTCATATGACGAGCAGTTGAGGACTCTGGCTAAGTACTCGATGGGCTTTGGAAGGATGAGGAGATATCTTGAGTGGCACTTACAGAATGCAGAGAGGCCTGATACAGTGAATGTAGAGATGTTTCCACTAGTAGGAGAGACTAGGACCTATGAGCACAGCCTCAGAGTGAAGGGACATGCGCTTAGAACTGAGATGAGGAGGAATTTCTTCAGCCAGACGGTGGTTAATCTGTGGAACTTATTGAAACAGAGGACAGTGGAGGCCAAGTTATTGAGTGTATTTAAGACAGAGATAAATTGGTTCTTGATTGGTAAGGGGATCAAGGGTCACGGGGAGAAGACAGGGGAGTGGGTTGAGAAATATATCAGCCAAGATCGAATAGTAGACCAGACTCGATGGGCCAAATAACCTAATTCTGCTCCTATATCTTATGGTCTAATTTTGCTTGCCATTTATCAACCCAAGACTAGATATTGTCTGAGTCTATTTTCATTTCGATACGCATTGCTTCAGTTTCTGATGATTCGCCATTGGTGCTGGAAACAGTATAAACATCAGCAAACATCCCTCCCCATATCTGATCCTGTAATTGAGGGAAGGTCAGTGATGAACCTGAAGATGGTTGGGCCTAGTACACCATCCTGAGGAATTCCTGCAATTATTAATGTTGGGAAATGTTCAGAAGCATGCATTCAGGCCATTTAATGAACTTGATCTTGAAAGCTATGCACATGTTTTGACAGGTGAATCGTAGCTGCAGTGTAATAAGCTTTCTTTTTCTAATATAAATGTTTAATAGGGGTTGCGTGTTTCAGAGCACCACAATAAGGGGTCACACTGGGACAGAATTTTAGATACTACAGCCCGGTTTACAGGTAGTATGTAAAATCTGTAGAGTAATGCAAAGTTCTACGTTTTGAAGAATGCACCTGTAGGTTTAGCGCAAGGCCAGTGCTTGAATTGGTAACCTCTGATTGCAAGTTGCAAATTTTCATAGAAATAATTTCCAAATGCAAGGTAGTACATGAAGGGCAAGATAGGAAGAAACCAGTATGGAGCACAGGCACAGATACAAACTACTTGTGTCAAATAGCCTATATCCGGGCTTTTAAATGATATGCCATTTCCACCTTCAGTTCAGTATGAAGATGACACCAGTAAGGAGTGATGAAAGAGGTGGTGTAGCATCCTTGCCCCATTGATCGGCACAGCCTCTTCTGACTATTGCCAGGTGGTGCTGCAGGGGGCGCGCTCCCCGGCACCGCAGCCTGGACCATCTTGCTCCGAGCCGGTGGGTTCTTCGTTTTTGTGGATGACGCATGAATGGCGCGCCGAGGTGGGGGCGGGGCGTGGACACGTGCGCGCGCCGGGAGCCGAGGGGCTACAGGGCGGAGGGACACATGGCGGCGGCGGCCTGGGGGCAGCGCCGGCGGAGGAGGCAGCAGCGCTAGCAGCTGTGTTCAGGTAACGGCCGTAGCCCGGGGAGAAGGGGTCCTTGTGTGGTAAAGCCGCAGCTCCGGCAAGCGGCCTTCACTGCTACACGGCGACCAGCAGCAGCTGGCCTGAGGCGACAGGATCGACAAATAGCCCCCTGCAGGATGGAGTGGGAGGGAGAGAACTGGAGACTGTGCCGAGCCCGAGAGAGAGAGAGAGAGAGACAGAGACAGAGAGGGAGAGGGAGAAAGGAGGATGTGCAGCGTGTATACACAGAGACCCAGAGAGAGAAAGGAGGATGTGCAGCGTGTATACACAGAGACCCAGAGAGAGAGAAAGGAGGATGTGCAGCGTGTATACATAGAGACCCAGAGAGAGAGAAAGGAGGATGTGCAGCGTGTATACATAGAGACCCAGAGAGAGAGAGAAAAAGGAGGATGTGCAGCGTGTATACATAGAGACCCAGAGAGCGAGAAAGGAGGATGTGCAGTGTGTACACCCAGAGAGAGAGAAAGGAGGATGTGCAGCGAGTATACATAGAGATACCGAGAGAGAGAAAGGAGGATGTGCAGTGTGTACACCCAGAGAGAGAGAAAGGAGGATGTGCAGCGAGTATACATAGAGATACCGAGAGAGAGAAAGGAGAATGTACAGTGTGTATACACAGACACCCAGAGAGAGAGAGAAAGGAGTATGTGCAGTGGGTGTACAGGCCTGGAGCGAGGGGTGGATGTGCGTTGTATACACAAAGTCTCCAAGAGAGGAAGGGATGTGGAGTCAATGTACAGAGTGCTGGAGAGAGCTAGGGTGATGTCATGTTTGTGTATCAAGTCTGGAGATAAACTGGGAGCTGTGCAGTATGTGTTCAGAGCCTTCAAGAGGAGGAGAATATATAGTTTATGTACAGAGCTCTGGAGTGAAGAGGAGTTGTACAGTGTGCACAATGCCCAGGGGAAAGGGGTTGAGGGAGAGGTTTCCTGTGCAGTGTGTGTACAGAATCCCAAGAGAGAATAGGTTGTGCAGTTGATTTACTGAGCCCTGGAGAAAGAAGGTTGCTGTGATGTCTGTTTACAGACCCTTGGAGAGAGAGAGGTGATGTAAAGTTAAGTAAATGAGGAAATCGCAGTGTAATTTTATATTTATGAATATAGAATCCTGTAGATGGAAGAGTCTCACAGTGTGAACTTAAAGAATGTGGGAAATAGGCTAGAGATTCATGCTATATGTATAGAAACCCCTGAAGGTGAGGGTAGTGTGCATTGTGAGGTAGGAGCAGTCCCATATGTACAGTTGATGGTGTGTACAGAGGAGATTCTGTATTGATGTCTGCCACATTACTTGTTCAGCATCAGTGGATACTATAGGCCACATCACTTCCTTCTGTGCTGTTTAATTCTATGATATGGAGTTAATAATATTGAATGGTCAGTCTGGATTCCACAATGAAGTGTCAAGATATGGTAAAATTAGGGCAAAAAATTGAGATTAATTTTTGTAATCTTAAAAACCACATGCCCAGTTTCCCAGACCAGCCAAATGTATTGTGCTGGTTTAGATACAGGTTAGCAGTACCTGCTGTTTTGTATTTCTGCCTTGTGGATAAAATAAAAATCTAGAGCTGTTTTATTTTCTCATGCCAGCACGGCTTGATCTAAAGTGCTTTAACTTGCAGAAAGCTGGTTTAAAGAATGTGTATTTTAAGTACTCATGATTAATCTCTATTGCTTTGGCTTTCCTTCCAGTCACTGAGCCAAAGCAGAGTTTAAAATCGGACCCAGATGCATGGGCTGTGTGTGCTGAATCTGGATCTCCTCCTAGTGAACAGCACTGCAAAGTAAACCAGCTGCCACTCTAGCCTGCAAATGATGGTGGATATCTGATAACATGTTGGTACAGTGTTTTCAAGGATGTTATGTTGTAAATGCTATTTGCAAGTAAAATAGCTTATTTAGAATACATTATAGATAATGGTCTTTAGCAGCTATTAATTTCACAAACCGACATTGAATTGAAAAATATTAAAATATCAGGATACCTTTCTTTAGTGGGGTGTGGTTATTGCTGGCAAGCTCAGCATTTCTTGCCCATCCTTAAATGATTTTGAACAGAATGACTGAAATGGCTAGTAAGCCAATCATATTGCTGTGGGTCCAGAGTCATACGTTGGCTGGACCAGGTAATGATAGCAGACTTCTTCCCTAAAGGACAGTATGAATCAGATGTTTTTTTTTAAGACAAAGATAGTTTTATGGTCGCCATTAATGAGATAGCTTTCAATCTCAGACTTATTAATTTAATTTAAATTCCACCAACTGCAATGATGGAATTTAAAGCTATGTCTACAGGACATCAGGTTGAATCTCTGGATTGTTAGTCCAGTGACATTACCATTACACAATTGACTTCCCTAAAATAATGTAATAAATATTTGGCATCAGTGCTAGGCAGTAACATAAGATGCATCGTTAATTTAAAAATGAAAGAATAGCCATACTGTAATAATGTGAAATTAGTATCCTGAGAAAAGCACTGTACTGAGGTTGCACTGTATCCAAATTTGAGAATGATTCTTGTTCAATGAGAAAGGAAATTCTAGAAGCTAGTTTCTCAGTTATTCACATTATGTAACATCTCATTTTGCAAAGCTCTTATATTCAATATCTATCTGTCCATGTAGCTCTTACATTCTTGCTGCACTTGGGGATCAGAGAACATTTCATACTATCAAAGGACCTTATTCACAGAAGGACGCCCACACAATCAGTAAATCTTTTTTTAAAAAAAATACCAGTGGTATTTTGTCGATGCAGTGCTTGGTTTGTTTCCTATAACTGGCAAAAACAAATGATATATAGATCCGCTTTTGAAATTGGAGAAAGATTATAATAAAGTGGGTGGGATGATAATCTTCTGACTCTGGAGCCTGTGTTGAAAAACCACCCAAGATAACAGTCTGAAAGTCATCTACGATTGCCAGCCATCGATCCTTTTTGAAATAAATTTGTACTCGCTATCCATTTGCTAATGAGTGCTGCCCATGAGCACAAAACTGCTCTTAATTTGGCACTAGCTAGTAATCTCATCTAGGATAATACAGTGTGAAGCTGGAGGAACACAGCAGGCCAGGCAGCATCAGAGGAGTAGGAAAGTTGACGTTTCGGTTTGGGACCCTGCTACTCCTCTGATGCTGCCTGGCCTGCTGTGTTCCTCCAGCTCCATGCTGTATTATCTCTGGCTCCAGCATCGGAAGTTCTTACTGTCTCTGAATTTCATTGAGGACATGTGTTGGGGGAAAATAAAATTTGTACAGTAGATGATTTGCTTCTCAAATTGGAGTAGAATACAGAGAACATTATGTTATAACTGGCTGTGCTGGACTGATGCTGGATACTTGAAAGGCAAAGTTTGATTCCCAGTACTAAGAACTCACATTCCAACTGGGCGTTAAACTGACCTTTCGTTTGCCCTTTCAAGTGGACGTTAAAGATCCTATGCCAATACTTATCCCTTGCCAAACAGTAGTGAAACAGATTGTGGAACTTGGGTGTGTGCAAATTGGTTGTTTAATTACCTTAATCACAACAGTGACTGTACATCAAAAGCTGTAAAGCACTTTAAGACATTCTGAGATCATGAAAGGTGGTATAAAATACAAGCTTTTCTTGTTCATTGAGCAGAGTTTATTTCTGATGAAATTTATAGCAAAACTGTAGTTAACGATTACTAGTCCACTTCCCACAGTGGTTTAATAGACTTTTCCCTATGATAACCCTTCCATTTATTTAGAGGAGTGGTGAGTTCCTAGAAAATATAAAAGACACCAGCAAGCTTTCCAGGGTTCTTGTGGTGCAGTGGTGGTTTCCCTACTGAGCAAGGAGTCTAGGTACAAGCCCTACCTGCTCCAGAGGTGTATAATAACCTCTCTGAATAGATTGATTTAAGGGAAAAAAAAAAGCTATCCCATTAGAAATTGAAGAAAAATTAATATTTAGAATACTTTAGGCCATTTTCTGCCACTTTTAAAGATTGACAAACAGTTTGTATCCTTGTACTCTGGGATGAACAACATTTAGGCATAGTTGATGAACAGTACAACTGGATGGGATTTGGGATAAATGATATTGGGGAATGGTTTACTCTCAACTCACTCCTGAAATCACAGACTGAGCTCAGTAGACAGACCATAGAAAGGTAAATGAAGTTTTTAGTATCTCAGATTAACCACTTTGTGAACTATATGGCTAATGTATCAAATTGATCTTAAACGAAATGTATTATGGGGTCTTTGTTACTTTGGGTTGCAGTTCTCAATACGGGGTACTTATTTTATCTGGGATCCAAGAAGCCAATTTAGGAATGAGATGAGCTCTTCACTGTTTGGTTTGGGCTGAATTCCAGCTGAGATCCCTGATCTTAAAAGGTTATTGTATTAATTTGCTCTTTCAAAACCAGATATTCAGACTTGTATGTGATATTTAAGAATTTAATAAGTATATATTTTTAAGCAGTTTTATTTTGGTGTTTTTTTACAGTCAACCTGTCAGACTATGAAGGAGCACAGCAATGGCAAATGCTGTAAAAGATTCCTAAGGGCAAACTTTAGAGAGCAACTGAGGTCCCATCACAGCAAATGGAAACATTTAGATGGCTCGTTGTGTTCCCAAAGACAGTTTTATTATCAACAGAAACAGCGCCTGTGGCTGTCAATCAGGAAAAAACGGGCCAAGTCTGCGCTAAGAAAGGCCCTTTTGGATTGTCAACAGTGCAGATCTGTGAAAGACACCAAATGTTTGAAGGCAACATGGAAAGAAACTGCGTTGTTGACCTCAAGAGTCAATGACACACCAACCAAGGAAACATGTACACCAACCTTGGTACCCCACAAAGAAGGAGAGAGTAAGGGATGTGAAATCAGTGAAGTTCGGAACAGCAGTGCTGTAGCCCCAGATACAGACTGTAAATCAACAGTTTTATATTGTGAAGCAATCTCAAGAAATCTAACTGCAACGTCAAATGCTACTTGCCTCAAATCTCTACGGAAGAAGAACAATGGATTTCAGGACAAGATTATAAATCAAAAACTATTAAATGGTTATAAAAGAATAGACTTCCAAGAGAGCAAAGATTCTGTGTTCAATAGTTTACCTCGCAAGACAAAGCGTCAGCTGAAAGGTCATAAAATTTTTCTGCTGTACAGAAAACCTTCTCTCTTTAGCTTCCGTTATAGAGTATTTAATAGTCAAAATAGGCGGAAAAAATCTACCAGTCAAAAGCAAGAGAAGCTAAACTTGGTGCAGACTATAAATCCAAAGAAGACTGGCCAATGTATGGATAAAATGGCATGTGATACGTCTTTGCCACATCCCATAGATGAAGATTCTAGCCAGAACTTGGAGTTTGTATCAGATCAGAATAGTGGTATATCAGAAACAATGAAGAAAGACAAGAATTCTTGCCTGGCTAGTTGCTGTGAAGTTTCAATTACACCTCTTGATGAAAGGATGGACACTTCGCAAATGCAGGAGAATGCACCTCGTTTTGTTCAATCTAGTGAAAAGCTTGCTGAATGTAATAATCAGGCAGTTGATGAAAACTCAGAAGCAATGTTCCCGCCCTCGAGCCCTCATGAATCAGGTGCATCTTGCGCCAGCCAGCTTGTGGGTGCAGATAAGTGGCCTAAAATCGATGGGGTGCCCCAGACGTTTACTGTCTCTCCAGGGAGACTTGTGAACAAAACCCCAATTTGTGACAGGGAGATGCAGGTCATCAATATAGTAATGGACTCCAGTCCTGTATCGTATGGATGTACAAATACTTCTCTTAATGAATCTGGCCAGTCAGTTTGTTTGCAGAGTGGTGAGCCATGCCCTGTGCTTCAGCCACAGCTATTAGATCACATTTACTATAGATCCACCAAGCAGCATGAATCGGTGAAGAATGAAGCCAAAAAGGGAAAGGAGAATGAATCTCAGACCCCCTCTATTGCCAGTGAACAGTTAATATCCTGTATTCATGGTACAGTCGCTGGTTTAAGAAAATCTATTTCAATTTCTTACTAAGATTATACTGTACTTTTTTTAAAGCAATAGTTTGATAAAGTTTAATCAGCGAGTGACCTACCTGGTGTACTCTATTAGGCACAATGTTACTGCAAATTGTGTACAAATTGGGTGAACAGGATGTCACTTTAAAAGTAGAGTGCACCTATGATCATCTTTGTTTTGAAAGACAGATCCTTTGTATGGTTTAGATGGATTTGTTTCTGCCATTGCAACTTCAAGAGTATCCTCAGTGTTCATACAGTCATAGTGTCTGACATCACTGCTAGTCATGCTGCAGGAAATGGCTTTGCATCAAAGAATAGAATAAGTACAATGAGTCAATTTCATGTGTTTTAAGCTAATTTAGTGCAAATCCTGAGGCTGTGATATTCACACTGTCCCACTCTCAACATTTTACTGCATCACTCCCAACTCCACCCTACCTCATTCTATTGTTGGTTACTGTTCATCGCAAGTGAGGGAGCTGGCTGGCAGTTGGGAAGAGTAGAAGTGGGTCAGGCTAATGATTGGAGTGCTATGTAGGATGGCAAGTGACAGTTGTGTATGGAAATCAGAAATACATGTGGGAACTGCAAGTGTGATGTAACCTAGTGTGATTGGGTGTGCAACCATTAGTTGCACGGCACATGTGCCTGGGTGGACTGGTGCTGATTTCTGGTTCCAGGCATGCATCAGTGACGTCAGTGGTTTGTACTTTCCCTTGCACTTCTGTGGCTGTTTGTTATTTATTTGAGTCTGAGCCATTTGGTTCCACTTCACCACAGTTGGCTGAACTGTGTGCACGGTTAATGTATTCCTCACTTTATTTAAGGAAGAATGTTAAAGCTCTGGAGAAGGTTCAGAGAAGACTTATTACAATGATGTCAGGAATGTGGGATTTCAGATACAATAAAAGGTTAGAGACATTGAGCTTATTCTCCTTGGAGCAGAGGAAATTGAGGTGACCTTACTGAAGTATTTAAAATTATGAACATTCTGTTTCCACTAGTTGGTATGTTAGTAACTAGGAGTCACAATTTAAATATTGTCAACAGGAGAGTCAGGACTGAGATGAGGAGAAACTTCTTTATTCAGTTTTTAGCATTTGGAATGTGCTGCCTGGGAGAGTGGTGGAGGTGGATTCCATATGAGGTTTCACAAGAGATCTGGATATATATTTGAAAGTGATGAATTTTGAGGACTACAGAGATAGGGCTGGAGAATGAGGCAGGCTGGGTAGCTCTTTCAGGAGTCAGTACAGATGCGATAGTTCAAATGGCCATCTGTACTGTAAAATTCAAAGATTCTATCCCATATTCCCATAAAACTTTCTAGAATGGAATTAGTCTGTGCTGGAACTGGTTCTCCACCTGCCAAAGTAGAAAACAGCCCTAAAATGCAAGCTGGGGTCTTGTTCTTGTGTGGGTGAGGGGATGGGAGAGAAATCTTTTCCTGTATTACGCAGATGGTTGGTGAATTACATTCTGCAGTTCCACCATCCCCAAGGAACCCATGCAGAGTTTAATGTCATGTGTCTATTTCTTGAAGACCTTTTAATACGTTTGTTTTAATTTTGGCACTGATGGCATTATGGAAACAACGTAAGGCAAGCTGAGAGGAATTACTAAGATTGAGTGCATTTGGAAGTTGTCTAGATACTTTAGGTCCAACCTGGAAAATTGACTAATTGAGCTTGTTCAAATAAATTTGCTCTGGTAGGGTGCAGTTGAGTTTCATCAGGAGGTTGCCTGGACAAGAGCACTTTAGTTATGAAGAGAGGCTGGATAGGCTGAGATTGTTTTCTTTAGATCAGAGAAGGCTAATGGGGGGACCTATGTGAGGTGCATAAGATTCTGAGGGGGATGGGCAGGGTGGATAGGAAGCATTTGTTAGCTTTGGTTGAAGAGTCCATAATGAGTGGGCATAATTTTGAGGCAGAGGGCAAGAGGCTAAAAGGGGATTTGAAGAATAAGAGCATTTTCCCCCAAGAGGGTGGTGAGAATTTGGAATGCGCTGCCTGGGAGGGTAGTGTAATTGGGGAAACTTCACAATATTTAAAAAGTATGTGGATGAACTGTCATAACTTTCAAGGCTATGAACCAAGAGCTAGAAAGTTGGTTTAGCAGAGGTAGACTAGCACAGACTTGAAGACCCTCTTCTGTGCTGTATGACAGTTCGCTTGAGTACCGCCTCAGTGTTATTTTCTATTAAGTTCTTTAAACAAAAATACTTTTTAAAATGCAAAAAGCAATTGCCTGTTTTGGTTTATTGTTAGCTTTTTTGAGTGATTAGTTTTAAAATGTAGTACTGCTTAGTTCTAATATCTATGGCCTCAGAATGAAAACTTGAAGCCTGAAATATCTTGAGCCCTGGTTCACTGCTAAATTTGGGAACAGGGTACTTGCAGCCATCCATTCAGCCTTGACATTGACCCCAGTGTAAAATCTCAGAGCTGGTCTCAGTTACATGAAAGGCATTTGTTTGGGCACTGATGGTAGAGGCACAGGATTTAGACAGCATTTCACCTTATTCAGTCAAAAACAACAACTTTTAAACTACCGTTTTCTTAGTGTAGTTGATTCCATAATGGTCTGGTAAATGTGTGAATCAAGCACACTTTTCAGTAAATATAGGTGGAAGTTCGACAGGTTTGCTTGGGCGGGGGGCTGCTACCATGTTAGACTCACTCCTTTCAACAACAGGCCAGAAGTGTGTCAGGTGCCTAACATTTGCAAGCCCCTCACAGTTTCTTTGCTGTCCAAGATTGGATGTGTTGTAGGGGCACAGAGGGTGAAGATCCAGCAGAATGAGATCATGTCCCAGTGTCACCTTCAAAACCTGAGAATTGTAGAACGATGAATCAGATTTGAGTAGTCTTAAATTATTTCACTCGAGCAGCTCACCCCTCACGATGTTGTTTAAGTTTGTCTTGACGGTTTCCAGAGTTGCATTTAAATCATTTCCCAGTCAGAATCATGATGTGAGAAATAAGAGTAATACATATCTCTGTTTATAAGCTAAATCACAATTTTCAGTGCTGGAGATGTGTATCTCCTTTTTGCAGTTGATGCTTTTGAAGTCAAAGAATCTTCATGTCATCGGAGATCTTACAAGCTCCCACTCTCTGTTACGCCCTTATGGGGGTATAGTTCAGGTGTATGAATGCCATAATACCCACACTCACGTCAGTCCCACTTTTGGCTCAGGAGAAGTTATGGATAAAATAGAAATAAACAGCATGTCTTAATGTGCCATGCACCATCTAGGAATAATGTCTGAGAAAGCACAGCAGCAAATTTGAAACTGTATACCGAATGTTATCTGTCACACTTGGATCACCAACACAGTAAATGTCAAGGTTTCTTTAACAGCATGATGAGTGCTTGGTTTACTCTTGAAGTGGTTGTTTCTGCCACATGTTTTAGTGATTGATTGCATCTAGACTGAATAATTCTGGGCCATGTACTTCCCTGATCTATATTTTGGTTTTTCTCAGCTTTTCTGGATGAATTTTTGACAAAATATGGGAGTCTAATCCCACTTACTGAAAATGATGTTCTGATGAATCTAGAGCAGATCTTTCATCAGGATTTCCATGACAGGTATGTGTGTTAGGAACTACCTTGAAAGGACCCTTTCGAGTAATTTGTTTTCCAGATTTGTTTGAAAGGTTTAAGCTGTACTGCAATTCTTGAGGTTTAATTTCTGTAAAGGGGTAAAATTTTATTTGACAATGGCTTCCTTTGGCAAAAATCTCTCAGGATTGAACATCAATGTGGTTGAATTTGGCTGAACTAAGTTTGTTAAATAGTTGAATAGTGAGGATGGTGGAGAGAACTTGGTAACCCACTACTCTGCTGACATGAGAGGAGCTTCTACGTATTCACAGGTTGTCTCAAAAAGAATATAATGTAAGGAATTAATTGCAAGGAAATTAACGTGCTGGATTGTTATCTTTCTTCAATAATTTTTTTCCCTTTCCATTAATTTTCTTCTTTTACCTTGTTGTCTTGTCTATTTGCCTTGCAGACGTGTCTTTTTTTTTTGCTTGTTTTATTTCAATAGCTAGATTTTATGCAAAATACTCAAAGTAATAATGGACTGTTTTATTGGAAAAGCCAAAGAAAATCACCTGTTTAGCTGAGATTTGTCTGAGTTCATGTGGCTCTCATTTTGTTATTTGTATCTTGTATTAACTGATAAGAAATGATGAAAAAAGAGAACTCACATTTACACCACGCAAACATTTATTGTCTATCCTAATTGTCCTTGAACTGAAGCAGTTGAGAGTCAACCACATTAGAATCACATGTAGACTTCCCTCTTTAAAGAGCATTAGTAAATCATGTGGGTTTTTACGATGATTGATAATTTCATGGTCGCCATTACTGAAACGAGCTTTTAATTCCATGTATGCTGATAAATTCATATTCCATCAGCCGTGGTGGGATAAACCTGGACATCTGGATTGGTACTCCAGTGACAGCCACAATGCCACAGTCTCCCTCTTGTGAAATATCGCAATATTTACAGTTGCAGACCCACCCTAACCCCCAAGCACAGCAACCTATTTCAACTGAGAAGTTGAATTATACTTTGCTGTGATTTTTGTCCACTGTGAAACAGCCTGCCATTATTTATGATTCAGGCTCCCACATGTGTGAGATACTTTAAGATTTCTGGTACCTGTGCAACTAAACCTTGATAACGTTAGGTGCTTTCAGGAAAGAAATTAAGAAAGTGTGGTTTTGAAAGAAAGGCCCACTATTTTGAAGTATCCTTTATGCAAGTCTAGCAAAAGACTCTTCTTTGTACTACTATTATGGATATCTTTTAAGTGCTGTATGCATCCCAGATATGATTCCTATGCAGTTCAAAGACAATGCTAAAATGTATCTTCTGTGTTCTGAGTATCTCAGGAAAACCTTTATCCGGATGGAAATACGGAAGTATCAGAAAGCACAGGTGAACAAGCCAGAACCCAGTTTCCAAGTGGTTTACAACAAGCACATTTTGACTTTGGATGACCTGGCTACACTATATGGAGAGAACTGGCTAAATGATCAGGTCAGAGAAGGGTCCAGCTATGCTTGATGTTTATCTCTGATAGATCTCTGCAAGGGTCACAGTAAAGTAACAGCTACAATGCATTAAAACTGCGGTTAGGTTGGAGCTTTTGCCAAGAAATGTGAGCTCTAAAGTAAGGTTACAATAATGTAAGTAGCTTTGCTTCCTGCAGACGCTGTATTCCCTTATCTCAGCTACTCCATCTCTGCCACATCCATCCAATGATGCCACTACCACCGGCATCTTCGAAATATTCTCCTTTTCCATAGAACAGTATGGCACAGTACAGGCCCTTCGGCCCCCAATGTTGTGCCGACCTATTATCCTACTACGGTCAATCTACCCTGCATACCCTATATTTTACTATCCTCCATGTGCCTATCCAAGAGTTGTTTAAAAGCCTCTAAAGTATCTGACTCCACTACCACTGCTGGCAGCGCATTCCACACGCCCACCACTCTGTGAAGAACTTACCTCTGACATCTCCCCTATACCTTCCTCCAATCACCTTAAAATTATGCCCCCTCGTAATAGTCGTTTCCGTCCTGGGAACAAGTCTCTGACTATCCACTCAATCTATGACTCTCATCATCTTGTAAACCTCTATCAAGTCACCTCTCATCCTTCTTCGCTCCAATGAAAAAAGCCCTAGCTCCCTCAACCTTTCCTCATAAGACCTGTCCTCCAGTCTAGGCAGCATCCTGGTAAATCTCCTCTGCACCCTCTCTAAAACTTCCTCATCCTTCCTGTAATGAGGTGACCAGAACTAAACACAATATGCCAAGTGTGGTCTAACCAGAGTTTTATAGAGCTGCAGCATAACCTCACGGCTCTTAAACTCAATTCCCCTGCCAATGAAAGCCAACACACCATATGACTTCTTTACAATCCTGTCAACTTGGGTCGCAACTTTGAGGGATCTATGGACGTGGAACCCAAGATTCTTCTGTTCCTCCACACTGCCGAGAATCTTGCTGTTAATCCTGTATTCTGCATTCAAATTCGACCTTCCAAAGTGAATCACTTCCCACACTTTTCTGGGTTGAATTCCATTTGCCACTTCTTTGCCCAGCTCTGCATCCTATCATTGTCCTGTTGCAACTTACAACAGCCCTCCACTCTGTCCACAACTCCACCAACCTTCGTGTCATCGACAAACTTACTAACCCACCCTTCCACTTCCTCATCTAAGTCACTTATAAAGATCACAAAGAGCAGAGGTCCCAGAACAGATCTCTGCAGCACACCACTGGTCACCGAGCTCCAGGCTGAATACTTTCCATCTACTACCACCCTCTGTCTTCTGTTGGACAGCCAGTTTTGTATCCAGACAGCCAAATTTCCCTGAATTCCATGCCTCCTTACTTTCTGAATGAGCCTACCATGTGGAACTTTATCAAATGCCTTGCTAAAATCCATATACACTACATCCACTGCTCTACCTTCGTCGATGTGTTTTGTCACATCCTCAAAGAATTCAATAAGGCTTGTGAGGCATGACCTGCCCCTCTCAAAGCCATAATTTCCTCAATGGAAATTTCCCCCTCCCTCAGCTGTCAGAGCCCTCTACATGTCTGACCCATCTCCTGCACTTTTGCCTTCACCCATCTCCTCCCCTTCCAGAACGGTGTGGGGTTTCCCTTGTCCTCACTTGCCACCCATCAGTCCCCATATTCAAAAGATTATTCTCTGTCATTTCTGCAACAGCCATCAGGATACTGCCACCAAATACGTCTTCCCCTCCCTTCTACTGTCAGCATTCCGCTGGACTGTTCTTTTTGCAATTCCCTTGTCCAGCCCTCCCATCTCTCCTAACATGTACTCAAACACCAGCCCCTCAAAGGCACCTTTCTATGCAGTCTATACAGAGGTAATAACACTTATCAATTATCCACACCCCCTCCCCCTTCACTCTTCAAGGCCCCAGACACACCTTCCAGGTGAAGCAGTGCTTTGCTTGTACTTTTAATATGTTCTACTGGATTCGCTGCTCACAATCCTTTACGTTGGTGAGACCAAATAGTGACTGGGCGTCACTTTGTGGAACAACTTTGCTCTGTCTAGAATGATCCAGAAATTGCTTGCCATTTCGTAAAGCACCTTGCTCTCATGCTAATATTTCCATCCTGGGCCTGCAATAATGTTCCATTGAAGCTCAATGCAAGCTGGGAGTATCAAGACCTCATTTTCCACTTGGGCACTTTCACCCTCTAGGACCCTGTTCAACAACTTGAAAGCATGAACCTTGTCTTCTATTTGTCTTGTATTTCCACCCCCTCCTCCTATCAAAACCCTCTGAGGCCGTGAATTGTTGACGTTGTTCGTTGTCTCCTTTTCACAACTTCATTTACACCCTTTTTACATCCCTATTTCTCCTTTACCACCATGAGCACTGTCTTTTTTGCTCTGCCAGAGGTCCCGTGACACCAGGTTGTGGTCCAACAGGTTTATCTGAAATCACAAGCTTTCGGAGTGCTGTTCCTTTGTCAGGTGAAGTCCACTTCTTTACACCCCTAGTGTCATGTGATTTCTGACTTTGTCCACCCCAGTCCAACACTGGCACCTCCACATCATGGCTCTGGACATCGTCACCATCTGTTTCATTTTCCATTCACTTTCAGTTCTGAAGAAGAGTCCTTTTGCAGTGAATGTCAACTCTCTTTTTCTCTGCACAGAGGCTGCCAGATCTACCGAGTTTCTCCAGCATTTTCAGTTTTTATTTCAGATGTCCAGCATCTGCAGTATTTCATTTTTGTTAAAGGCTTTGCTAACTTGAACTCAGGAGCAGGTGCTGTAGCAGTGAAAATTCAAATAGGTTTAAATAAAGACCAATTAAAACCTAACATCTGAAATATTAAATGAAATTGTATATCATTGAGTAGAAAGAAAGGGTTCAGTAAAATTGAATTTGTATCTAAAAGTTTAAAACTTGCCGTTCTAAAATTGGAGATGAACAAATGATGTGGGCATTTATCATAGAATCATTGGTGTCAGTAGACATGTCATTTATTTAAGTAACCACCATTACTTCCCATGTGTAGCTGTATAACCTCCACTAATGGTGTAATTTAATTTCTGTATTACTGTGTAGTGAAGTCATCTGAGCCAACTGAATTATGTAGTGGTGACTGTTTGGTTTCCTTGCAGGTAATAAACATGTACGGAGAACTGATTGTAGATGCAGTACCAGATAAGGTGGGTTTATGAATCATTGTGTTAAGGTGGACCTTTGTTAGAAGGCTTATTATTATTATAAGTTTGATAGCATGCCTCATTCGTTTATTGACAGTTCATTTTTGTTCATACCTCTAAATTATGGCAAAGTAATATCTTGGGGATGAGCTTTCCAGCTGATTCACCTCCAGAAAATACCAAAAATGCTCTAAAAATATATGGCCTTTTGCATTGGGAATAATGAGAAAAAAGGAAACTTTTTTTGTAAAGAAAACAGATACCTCCCTCAGCTATTTAAAGGAAAGGCTTGTGCACAGCAGGAAGAATCAACTCAAATCCCCAGTCTGTTTTGAGTTTGATCTCATCTGAAGGCGTAGCACTGCTTTTTAATGCCGCAGACTAAACGGGGAAATCCACAAGTTTATCTCCCTTAATTGCTGGCCAGCAGTTGCTGCTGGAAATGCATTTGTGTGTGTTGGTCTTTGAGAGCTGAGTCAGGCTCAGCTGTGATACAGCTTGGCTAGGACTGTGAAAAATGGCCACTGAGGTTATGTTGGTTGGCATTTATACTCAACTTTGGCTACTATTGATGTCTTCAGGAGGGGAGGAGGTGCATATCTGGCAAAAAGGGGAAGGGAGGAACCTTCATGCTATACTAATTTATGCTTTTTAATTTGCTTATCTTCCTTTCCAGGTTCACTTCTTCAATAGCTTCTTTTACAAGCAACTTCAAACTAAAGGATACAACGGAGTGAAGAGATGGACAAAAAAAGTGAGTCCTTGAAGGAGTGGATTATGCCAGCAAGATGATTTTTGGATGTGTAGCAAATTTTGGGAAACCAGCAGTTGATGTTTTGGTGAATTCTGTAGGGTACGCTGGACATTTTTTTTTAAAGAGTTATAATGTGGTCCAGTAAAGTCTGCAGAGAGATGATTGTTCATTTATGTGACTGACCTGCCTTCTTACGGAAGCATGTCTTTACAAGACACGATAAAGCCAACCTTCTCTGCAACAGACACATTCATATGTAGGTGATTGTTCTGTCCCAAACCAATTCGGTATGTAAAAATGATGACTGCCACCTTGTTACGTAGTTATTATAAATTAGCACTTCCATGTTTTAGAGTATATGATTTTAAAAGATACCTCAGAGGTTGTCTTCTTTGTCCCTTCTATTTCAGAACCAGTTGTAAATCCTTGGTACCATTTTTTCCTGTGCTTTTCTGCATTGTCTTTGCCTTCACACAAGTTTGATTCCATGTCTGCAGTCTGTAATATTAAGCTGCATGTCTGGTTTTCTTCTGATGAGCTGTCTGCCTAACTGGAAGGTTTTATTTTTGTCTTTCTGTTCAGGTGGATTTGTTCAGTAAAGCCCTCCTACTAATCCCCATTCATTTGGAAATCCATTGGTCCTTGCTAACAGTTGATCTTCCAAATAGGAAAATTTGCCTTTACGATTCTCAAGGCATCCATTTTAATTCCTGTGTTCAGGTAAGGCAACCATTCAGATACTTTCTTTTCAATTTTTTGTTTTATCCTTTTTGTTCCTTCCTAAAGGCAGTGATGTGTTGGAATCTGGTTACTTGAGTACTGATAGAAACCCTGAATAGTAACACAACATTCAATCACAGAGCCTGAACCTCTCCACATATGCACATTTCATGTTGCTGGATATTAACTATGAGTAGGAACTCTGCCTCATGTTTTATTCTTTATCTTTTCATTCTAGCACAGGAATCGTGAGAGCTGTTGTAGCATTCCCAATGTGAGCATTTAATTAGTGCAGACAAGAGAGTGACAGCAGGATATTGGAGAATGGAGGACGAGGGTTCAAATTGATAAAAACAAAATCTGTGATGATACTTGAAGCATATACAGCTGCAGACGGAGATTTCTGTTTGGGAACAGAGCCCCTGTCACATGCTTTAATGGCTGAATATCTTTGAGCAATCACTGTTACCAATACATTATTAAATATACTGGTAATATCATAACTGAGACTCGTACGGTACATTGTTGCTTTAGTCCCACTAGCCCATGAGTCACAACATTAAAAATCTTTTGCCATGTTACTTCAATCACTCTTTCAAAAACAAATTTGTTTCATCCTGAGCCCAACAAAATGGGTTTCTTTTCAGAAATGAGAAAGATGGACTAGGCAGCTTGTTCTTAGTAAGTTTCATCCAAATTATCTTGTTCTTGGGGTTTTGTCAAACTCAGTGAAATAAAACAACTTTTCCCAAACCAGCCCCAATAAAGATATACAGATAGTATTGCCAGTAATGTGATTTATAGGAAGTCTTGTTTATAAAAAAGATTGCTCATGTCCACTGTGACCAATCAATGACTTTTCTTAGCAAAAAGGCTCCAGGTATTTCCCCATGAAATAAATCCACTTTTCAAAATTCTTAATATTCAAGTCCCTCCAAACACTATTGAAGTGCTTTTTAACAGTAATAATCCAGCAAACTAATGTTATTTACTTAATTTCCTATTCCATACTACAACAAGAATTCAATGTTACGGTTCTTATTTATTCAGTAAGTGAACACAGGGTTTGTTCCAATTCTCTTCAGTGTAATGGTTGTTATCGATCTTGCCTCTGAGTCACAAAGTTGTGGGTTCAAGTCCCACTCCAGATCTTCAGCTGACACTTCACTTGAAGGAATGCCTCACTGTCTGTATTTGCATGTCGTCTGAATGGCCTATGTTCCTATCCAACTTTCAGATGAAATGTTAAACCAAGGCTGTGCTGCCCTCTTAAGTGAAAGCAAAAGATTTGATCGCACTGTTTGAAGAAGAACAGTGAAGTTATCACCCAAGTCCTGGCCGATTATTAATCCCTCGGTTAACGTCACAGTAACAAATTATTTTGGGAAAAATGGCATTGCTGTTTAGGAGAGCTTTTTTAAACAGTACATGACTTTTCTCCCAGTGCCACAGACTCTGTTGTTTTAGTAGTCAGTTTGATTGAACTCTTAATCTGTAGGCGTGGTCCAATGACAAAACATTGCAGTAGTTTTTGTCATTGGGCTCATAAGAGAATGGAGGACGAGGGTTCAAATGTAAGCACTAGTGGTAGATGATCTCTCCCAAATGGAACTAACGTAACTGAACTAGAAAGAGAAATAGATGAATTTACTTGGTACTAATGCAATGCTGCATCCCATATGTGCCATGGAAACAGGCAACTAAGTAAAAACAATCCATGCTGAATATTCTTTCATCAGTGTTGTGTCTACTGTCCTCCAATCCATGTAAGAAAGCAGGCATGTCAGTAATTCACTGATTCACTAGCTGAGAGAATGCTGATAATTTTACTCATGTCGGAGGAGAACAATATTTTGTGGTCCTCTGGTGAAGATTCTCAGCTCAAGTATTGAGAATTTTACACTGTTCTTGGTGTCGTCATCTGTCCAAAAATCAAGCAGAGTATCAATTAAATGCAGAACAAAGCTCTTTCTATTTTTCTGCCCAGCATAAAAAATGTGCTCTATTACCGAACAAACTATTTACCAAATCAGCTGTTGAGGTTGCTAATTGATGCTTGGTCATGCGATGTGAATGCTAACAGTTTAGAACTGGATAATTACTGTCATAATCACTTTACGTACCTCTCATATCATTGAAAGAAAGAGGGATTTATGTTTGATCAGTTTACGCTGGATTTGAATGGAATGTCAGCAATAGTAAACATCATCCAGTGGCCTTCAGTGTGCTGTTCACAAACAATGTAATGTTCTTTTTCTTAAGCAACTACTGTTCAATCTTTAGAAATGTAGAGGATGTTGTCTATCCATGTAAAAGTAAGGAGAGTAAACATTGTGTACTGAAATGAGAACTGGGAAGGTTTTCATCTTTTAAAATATGCAGGAAGTTCCTTTGCATCACTTCCTGCAGTCAAATCAAAAATGTATTGCCATTATTTCTGCTTTATTTATAGACTCCTTTTTGAAGAGAAGAGGCTAAACCACTTAAGATACATGCACAAATCTTTCTTCAAAAAAGCATCTCTGATCTATCTCGCGCAGCTATCTGGGCTGCTTTTTTTCTTTAACGCATTACTGAGGAAACTGCAAAGTGCAACTAGATTGACCAATTCAGTAACAACGTGTTAAGAGTCAAAATCCGATGTTCTAGATGGGGCTGTAATCTTCATACTGATCTCTGCTCTCAACTAAGTAAAAGCTAATTGTTTAATTCCTATCTTATTTGGATTGTGCCGCCCTCTATTTACAAATTAGTAAAATTGGAAAGAATTGGATCTAAATGAGGAAGGTAGCAGAGAAGAATCCTAAATTGAAACAGCAATATTTTGGACCAAAGGAGGAGAATAAAAAATGCCGCAATTAGAAAAGACGAGGTAAAAAGAAAGACTTGCCTCTTCCCATGCTGATTCATCCTTGAGTTAAGACCATTAATCTCTCAAAGTGTAGACTGATGTAAGTGGAGGCCTCCTTGATCCCATAAGAATCCTCAATACACCCAATATGCTTGAAAAAAAATGCAATTCATGTCCAAATGTAAAAACATTCCAGCTTTTTGGTTGGTTATTCCCAAAACAGGAAGTGGTGTAAAGGAACTAATGGGGCTCTGAAGAAGACAGGCCATATGTCAAGCACCGTGTCCAAAAACAAATCAGGTGAGCAGCAGGATTTTTCTTTGATACTAATGGGCAATTAGATAAGTTCTTAGGTACTGAGATTTTGATCAAATCATTGTTATAAGGTTGTTATGATTGAAGATGGACCAAGTTGTGAAGTCATCCTAGTGTAAGCATCCTGAACAAAGATACTCAATGTTTGAAATATACTCAGAAGAAATTCCTTGACAGCCAGGAAAATTATTGCCCACTGAATACTTGTGTTTGCACTGATTCTCCAGAATTCCATATTTCTGTTTGTAATGCTTATTGATTTTGTTTTTAAAAGTGATGTTGTTCACTTAAGCTTTTTTCACTTCGTAGGTAAGAGATGGGCAGAAGCTATGTTGTTTCTCTATATTACAACTACAAGCAAGGGCAGTTGTAGAGTACAATTATTGTCAAGTAAATATGTACTTAAACTTAAACCTTCCTGCCAGTTTTCATTATGGCTTGACCACAGCTGGCATTTTAATATTTGAGCAATCCTGGACACAAACTGGGTACTGCATTCCTTTAATACAGTATATTGCTTCATTACAGCATGGTTACAGCATGTTTATCATTTAGTTAAAATCTCTTGCCTTTGAATTTACTTATGTCTAAAGTGAAGTTGTTCATGAAATATTTAGTTTCTAGGAATACTGTAGGAACTGCTGTGGGTTGCAAAAATCAAACTCATAAGGTTGGTGTAAAATAAAACCAAAATGCTGGAAAAACTTGGGTCTGGCAACATCTGGGGAGAAATAAACAGCATTAATGTTTTGAATCCAATCTGAATCTTGCATTAATATTCAGAATCTTGGTAAATAACTTGACCCATCCAGAACAGAACTTGGCTTTCATCTTTTGTGCAGCTAACTGGGGTAATGTGCTGGAGAATGACTCTTGCACTTGTGGAAGTATACCCCAGCTAGAAGCAAACCCTTTCAAGAAGGAATTAAAATTATTGAGCAGGGACGGAGATGGTTGGCCTGAGTTTGTGTCTCCCATTCTCAACACTACAGCCAGGAGAAGGTTCTAAGTGGTACATGTTTTTTTTAAATTCTTGCTGTCCATGTGATTTACCCAACTTTCCTGGTTTGCAGAACATTTTGAAATATTTAAAGACAGAAGCTGGTGAGAGGAATCGTCCTGCATTCCTGGAAGGGTGGAAAGCATTTGCCACAACGGTAAGGTTTGAACTAACCTCCTTAAGGATTCAGTTTATAGCAATATTCCAATTAGCACAGACTTTGCATACCCTCATTTGTATGAAGATTGTAAACTGCACCTTTCTAATATAATCATATTACCAGATTGACTTCCTCCAGTACCCTCCACTAAAATTGATTGTGTAGATGTTTAGTTCTTGTACTAAGCTCAGGAGAGTTGGTAATAATGTTATTGCAGTTAATTTCAAGGGAGAAAATTGTTGGTTTATAAATCTGCTGAGCAGTGCTTAAATGTGGATGTGATTTGAAGGCAGTTTGGTTGACTGTGATATCCTACCTTCCCGTGGGTGTAATGGTAGTCTACAGAAGAAATTTGGAGTATGGGTTAGGCACAGAGGAGTAGGCTGTTCAGCTCATAGAACCTTCACTGCATTCTAGATCATCTAGCTCAACATTATATTCATACACTATCAACTTTTCTCTTGTCATTAGAAGCTATTTGTCTCTCTCTGTCTTGAACTTGTATAATGACTGAGCTTCAACACCCCTTTGTGGTAGAGAATTACAACGTTTCATCATCGTCTGAGGTAAGAGGTTCTACACATCTCTATCCTAAAGGCTTGCCTTTTATTCTGAGACTGTCCCCTGGTTCTGATCCTTCCTTCTTCTACACTGCCTATCTTTAAGAATTTTGTAAGTTTCGATGAGATTGCCTCTCATTCTTCTAAACTTCAGAGAATATGGGCCCAGACTCCTCTTAGGACAGTCCCACCATTCTAGGAATCAGTCTGATGAGCCTCAATTGCAGTTACATCCTTTGTGTTCAGTTCTGGTCACCACACTGGCAGAAGGATGTGGATGTTTCAAAGAGGGTACGGAAAATGTTTACCAGAATGTTGCCCGGTATGGGGGATTTTAGCTATGAAGAAAAGTTGGATAGACTGCATTTGTTTTCACTGGAACACAGGATGTTGAGGGGTGACTTAGTAGAAGTTTATGAAATTGTGACTGGCATGGATAGAGTGGAACGTATGAGACTTTTTTACAGGGTGGAGGGTTCAATTACTAGGGACACGTGCTCAAGGTGTGAGGGGGGAAAGTTTAAAAGAGATGTGCAAGGCAAGTTTTTCACAAAGGGTGGTGAGTGCCTGGAATGCATTGCCAGAGGAGGTTGTGGAAACAGATACAATAGCAGCATTCAAGAAGCACTTGGGCGATTACATGAATAAGAAGGGAATAGAGGGATATGAATTCTGAGTGAAGGGAGTTTTAGTATGGAAGGGCAAAATGTGTCAGCATGGACTTGGAAGACCAAAGGACCTATTTGGTGCTGTATTGTTCTTTGTTCTTTTCCTTCTTTCGGCAAGTAGCCAGAAGTGCACACAACAATCTAGGTATGCTCTCAGCAGTATTCTATACAATTGAAGCAAGACTTCTTTCCTATTGTACTGAAATCCTGTTTATTGAAAGCTGACATATTTGCTTTCTGAATTGCTTGCTGCACCTGCATGCTAGCTTTCGATGACTTATGAACAAGGATACCTCGATCCTTTTGGGCATCAACACTTCACATCTTTTGCCCTTTAAAAAGTACTCTTTACCTTTGGTAGAAGGAACAAAGTGGATAATCTCTCACCCATCTACATTATTTTCCATCTGCCATGTTTAAAGCCCGCTCATTCAGCCTGCCTAAATCATCCTGAAGCCTCTTTGCATACTGCTCACAACTCACCATCTACCAAGGTGTAGAGCTGGATGAACACAGCAGGCCAAACAGCATCAGAGGTGCAGGAAAGCTGACGTTTCGGGCCTAGACCCTTCTTCAGAAATGGGGGAGGGGAAGGGGATTCTGAAATAAATAGGGAGAGAGGGGGAGGCGGATAGAAGATGGATAAGGGGGAAGATAGGTGGAGAGGAGACAGACAGGTCAAAGAGGCGGGGTTGGAGCCAGTAAAGGTGAATGTAGGTGGGGAGTTAGGGAGGAGATAGGTCAGTCCAGGGAGGACGGACAGGTCAAGGAGGCGGGATGAGGTTAGTGGGTAAGAGATGAGGGTGGGGCTTGAGGTGGGGACGAGCTGGGCTGGTTTTGGGATGTGGTCAGGGGAGGGGGAGATTTTGAAGCTTGTGAAGTCCACATTGATACCCTTGGGCTGCAGGGTTCCCAAGCGAAATATGAATTGCTGTTCCTGCAGCTTTCAGGTGGCATCATTGTGGCAATGCAGGAGGCCCAGGATGGACATGTCGTCCAAGGAGTGGGAGGGGGAGTTGAAATATTTCGCGACTGGGAAGTGTAGTTGTTTGTCGCGAACCGAGCGTAGGTGTTCCGCAGAGCGGTCCCCAAGCCTCAGCTTGGTTTCCCTGATGTAGAGGAGGCCACAACGGGAACAGCGGATACAGTATACCACATTAGCAGATGTGCAGGTGAACATCTGTTTGATATGGAAGGTCTGCTTGGGGCCTGGGATGGGGGTGAGGGGGGAGGTGCAGGGGCAAGTGTAGCATTTGCTCCAGTTGCAGAGAAAAGTGCCGGGTGTGGTGGGGCTGGAGGGGATTGTGGAGCCGACAAGGGAGTCACGGAGAGAGTGCTCCCTCTGGAAAGCAGATAAGAGTGGGGAGGGAAAAATGTCTTTAGTAGTGGGGTCAGATTGCAAAGGCCAGACGCCAGCTCTCTGACACCACCTCCTACCGCCCCCTTGATCATGATCCCACCCCCGACCACCAAACCATCCACAACCTCATCACTTCAGGTGACCTCCCACCCACAGCCTCTAACCTCATCATTCCCCAACCCGGCACCACCCGTTTCTATCTCCTTCCCAAAATTCACAAACCTGACTGCCCTGGTCGACCCATTGTCTCCGCCTGCTCCTGCCCCACCGAACTTATCTCCATCTATCTCAACTCCATTTTCTCCCCCTTGGTCCAGGAACTCCCTACCTACGTCCGTGACACCACCCACGCCCTCCACCTCCTCCAAAACTTCCAGTTCCCTGGTCCCCAACACCTCATCCAGAAATGCAATCTGACCCCACTACCAAAGACATTTTTCCCTCCCCACCCTTATCTGCTTTCCAGAGAGACCACTCTCTCCGTGACTCTGTTGTCCGCTCCACACTCCCCTCCAGCCCCACCACACCCGGCACTTTTCCCTGCAACCGGAGCAAATGCTACACCTGCCCCTACACCGCCCTCCCCCACCCCCCCGCAATCCCAGGCCCCAAGAAGACCTTCCACATCACACAGATGTTCACCTGCGCATCTGCTAATGTGGTATACTGTATCCGCTGTTCCCGTTGTGGCCTCCTCTACATCGGGGAAACCAAGCGGAGACTTGGGGAATGCTTTGCGGAACACCTACGCTCGGTTCGCAACAAACAACTACACCTCCCAGTTGCGAACTATTTCGACTCCCCAATCCCACTCCTTGGACGACATGTCCATTCTGGGCCTCCTGCATTGCCACAATGATGCCACCCGAAAGCTGCAGGAACAGCATCTCATATTTCTCTTGGGAACCCTGCAGCCCAAGTGTATCAATGTGGACTTCACAAGCTTCAAAATCTCCCCTCCCCTGACCACATCCCAAAACCAGCCCAGCTCGCCACCGCCTCCCTAACCATTCCTCCCACCTCAAGCCCCATCCCCATCTCCTACCCACTAACCTCATCCCGCCTCCTTGATCTGTCCGTCCTCCCTGGACCGACCTATCCCCTCCCTAACTCCCCACCTACATTCACCTTTACTGGCTCCAACCCCGCCTCTTTGACCTGTCTGTCTCCTCTCCACCTATCTTTTCCTTTATCCATCTTCTATCCGCCTCCCCTCTCTCCCTATTTATTTCAGAATCCCCTTCCCCTCCCCCATTTCTGATGAAGGGTCTCGACCCGAAGCGTCAGCTTTCCTGCTCCTCTGATGCTGCTTGGCCTGCTGTGTTCATCCAGCTCTACACCTTGTTATCTCAGATTCTCCAGCATTGACAGTTCCTACTATCTCTCACCATCTACCAAGTTTATTTTTATCACCTGAAGACTTGGAAACATCACAGTTGGCTTCTGCATCCAACTCATTGATATAGATTGTGAAAAGTTGAGGCCAAGCAATGATCCCTGTAGTGCCCTACTGGTCATAGCCTGCTAACCTTTCCTGCTGTCTGCTTTCTGCCTGTTAACTAATCCTCAACCCATGCTTGTAAAATACCATAATTCTATGCACTTTTTGTTTACTAATCTTTTGTGAGGGTCTTTATCAAAAGCATTCTGAAGATGAAAATGGACCAAGCCGCTAGGTTCCCCCCGCGTCCACTCTGGCGACGTTGTCAAAAAACTGCATCAGTTTGTCAAACATGATTTTCCCCTTTCATAAATCCATGTCGACTCTGCCCAATCCGACAATTATATTCCAAATATCCAGTGTCACATCCTATATAATAAATTCTATTTTCAAAAATCTTGGTGCTCTTTGCATTCTAAAATTCTCCCAGTTTTCAGGCTTACAACTTTTTCTAATCATCTTAATAAGCTTCTTCCTTTGATCTAATACTACCTTTAACTTCCCTTGTTAGTCATGGTGCTGTTGCTTTCTCTATTTGGTAGTTTAGCCAACTGCTGGCCATCTTCCAAGAATCCTTAGGTTCTGGAAATGTTCCCAAAGATTGGAAAACTGTCAATGTTGCACTTTTATTTATAAAGGAAATGAGAACCAGGTAACTGTAGACCAGTTATGTCTGTTCTAGGGAAAATGTTAGAGTGATGTGACAACAGAGCATTTAGAAATATGTAATATGATCAAGCAGAAACGACATGGCTTCATGAAGGAAAAAATTATGCCTAACAAATTGATTAGAATTCTTTATGGATATAACAAGCAGGATAAAGGGGAAGCAGTGGATGTAAAATATTTGAATTTTTCAGGAAGTGTTTGATCAAGCACTACACATGAGGATACCTAATAAGATAAGAACCCACGATGTTGGCGGTAGTATATTAACATGGATAGAGGATTGACTAATTAATACATGGTTGGAATACGGGAGGCGTTTCTAGGATGGCACCTTTATGGAGTGCCAGAGGGATCAGTGCTGGGGCCACTATTATCTATAAGATATATTTACTTTAATGAAGAAAGTAAATGTACTATAGCCAAGTTTGCAAATTACACAATCTGCAGAAGGATGTAGAAGGGTTAAGTGAGTGGACAAAAAAATCAGTAGATGGAATGTGAGAAAGTATGAAGTTATGTAATTTGGCAGGAGGAGAAAGACTGCAGAAATCTACAGCACAGAGGGATTTGGGAGTCCTCGTCCATAAATCTCAAAAAGCTAGAATCCTCAAGAAGTCTTACTAAAACTATTCAAGGCATTAGTTAGACAACAGCTGCAATTCTGTGAACAGTTTTGGGCCTCATTGTCTCAAATGCTATCTTTTCTTCCAATCTAGAGAAGGTTCACTAAGCTTATCCTGGGTATGGCAGATTGATTTATGAGAAATTGAGTAGGTTTGGGTCTGTACTTATTGGAATTTAGAAGAATGAGAGGCAACCTCTTTGAGATCTACAAGATTCTTATGGGTTTTGATGTGATGGATGCAGAAAGGTTGTTTCCTCCTATGGGAGAATGTGGGCCCAGCGGCACAATCTCAGAATAAAGATAGAGCCGAGGAGAAATTTCCTCTGAGGGTGGTGTAGAATCTGTATAATTCTGTACCGCAGAGGGCTGTCAAGGCTGTGTTGTTAAATATATTCAAGTACATATGTGATAGATTTTTTTATAAATAAGAAGGGTCAAGGAGAAAAGGCAAGACAGTGATGTTGAGGATCATTAATTCAGTCATGAGCTCATTAAATGGTAATACAGATTTGAGCTGAATAGCTTACTTCTGCTCCTGCATCCTATGGTCTTAATGGAATGTGTGTTTTATTTTGAAAGCCAAGCATTAATTCTTTAAATTGTGTATCTACCATCAAACCTTCGTATTTTTCAAAACCAACACTGCCAAATTCCTCCTCAAGCCTTCATAGGTGCCCTTGTTTGAATTCAAGATCCATGTTTCAGATTGAACTACATTTTTTTCAAGCTTAATGGAAAATTCGATCATACATCAATTAATTAGCCCTTTCACATTGCTGATTATTAGATCTATGATAAGCTTTCCCTAGTTAGTTTTCCTCAACATATTGAGAAACAATCTCAAAGACATTCCAGGAATTCTTCCTCCATATCATTGGTTTTCATTAGATTTACCCAGTCTATGTGTAAGTTGAAGTCATCCATAATTACTGCATTCCCTTGCTACCTGCACCTAGTTTTCTGACTGTGCCCTTTGTCTGTTTTAAATTACAATTTAAATTCTCATCCCAATATTTATTCACTCATTTAAAACTTTAACCAATGAGGCAAGAAGATATGGTCTGCAGTAACTTAGGAAACTTTATTTCAGTTATGAATAATACTTAGCACAACAACAACTATGGGCATATTATCACCGTGACTTTCCAGTCAGTGGAAGGTGTAGGTAAGTCCTTGATCTCGGGTCTTCTGCTTCCAGTTGGACAGCAGGCTGATTTCCATTTCAAACTCGGTGCGTGCCTTGGTGGTTACTAAAAGCTGCTGCTTCTTAATCTTTCCAATCTACAACACACAGCACAATCATTTGTCAGTGCATTTCAATTATTGTAACTGAAGCGAGACTCATTTCTAATTGGTTTAGAAACAGTTAATATTGTAGTAATCAACTAATATACTTTGTGTGATAATAACTAAACTAAATTAATTATGAAAAGTTACTTTCCATACTAATCCTACGTGTACGTTGCCACTATGGCCTCTCTGACTAATATTTGCTGCCCCTTGCTGTTTCTTAGCTCCACCCAAACAGATTCTACACCTTTTACTTCCTTTTCCTTTCAGGCTACTCCTCCAAATTGCAAATATCCCATAATAGTCAGTTCCTCTTGAACACTCTGAAGTTAAATGTTCGTAATGGTAATTAAATTATGCCCTTTGACTTGTAGCATCATGATTTCACTTATCATCCCGTGAGTGCTGCATGCATTCAGAATGCTTTTAATTCTTTACTTTTAATGGTGGTGGTTGTTGTAGGTCAATCATCATAGCCCCAAGACATCACTGCAGTCGCTCTTCTTCCCCTTCTTTCTTCCACCCACCCCACCAACTTCTCCTCCCTCTTCCCTCACCTCTCCCCTCCCCACCCCCATCCATCTCCGTTTCTCTCTATCTCTGTCTCCCTTTCCCTGATGCTGTGTCTCTTTCTCTCTCCCCACCCCATCACTGTCTCTTTCTCTCTCCCCTCCGCGCACCTGCTCTGTCACCCCAGCTCGCTCTCGTGTAGCTTGGTAGCTAGTTGGTGATCGTGAATCCTGATGGCTAGTTTCCTTCGGTTTGTCCTATGTAATGGTTTTGGCAGTCTTTGCATGGTATCTTGTAAATAATGTTGGTTCTGTTGGTTGTGGTTGTCACATCCTTTACTCTCGTCAGTGGCTGTCGTAGCGTACTAACAGAACCAACGTTATTTACAAGAGACCATGCAAAAGCTGCCAAAAACATTACATCAGGCAAACTGGAAGGAGACTAGCCATCAGGATTCATGAACACTAACCAGCTACCAAGAGACCTGACCAACTGTCAGTCATTTCAATACACATGGACAAAGAGGGACGCCGGTTCGACTGGGACAACATAGCCAACCTAGGACAGGACAAGACAAGCCAAGCAAAGACACGCACAAGAATTCCTGGAGGCCTGGCACACAAACCAAAACTCCATTAACAAACATGTCAAGCTGGACCCCATATGCTATCCATTAAGAAACAAATCTAGAAGTGATGCCACCCACCCCAGCAAACTAAGACACACAAATAGCAAGCGGGACAGAACACCGATGCTTCATCAGAGGCACACGGATGATGTTACCTCATATGGTGACGAAACGTTTGCGAACAAATTTACCAGCTTGGCGAGCAAGTCAACAACTGCATCAACACCCCAAGCTACAAATTTTCTCAAAAACCGTGAACATGTTCATTTGCTCAAGTTTCCTACTTCTATGCTGATTAGCATTTGGTACTGAGAGCAATCCTGAGGTCTCGCCTTTCAGTCTTTTGCCCAGCTCCCTAAATTTTAATTTCAGGACCTCATCACTCTTTCTATTGTTGGTGATAAGGTACAGCAGAATCTCTGGCTTGTCACCCTTCACCAACATGTCCTGCAGCTATACTCTGACATCCCAGACCCTGGCATCAGGGCAGTAACGTACCATTCTGTGGACACGTCTACAGACACTAAAATGTCTGTCTGTTCCCTTAACTGTAAAATTGCCTGGCACTCTTCTTCCACTCTCATCTGTGTGGTCAAGCCACTTGCAGTGCCAGAAGCTGGTCTCCCACTACGTACTACTTATGAATTACTGCCCTCATCAATATCCAAAATGGAAAAAAACGGTTCAAGTGTGAGTTGGGTTCAGGATTCTCGCCCTACCTCCAAGGTCTTTCTAGACTGCCCAGAGATCATGCATTCCCGCTCTGCTTGCCTGATCTCAATCTACGGTATGACCATTTTATTAAACGTTCTATCCACATGGTTCACAGCTATGTGGGAGTGACATAGTGACTGCAGTGCCACTCAAGTTCCAATCCCAAGGCTCAAGATTCCTGCCACTTGAAGCATCCACGACTTCCCACATAGCACAGCATGGTATTCCACACAGCCAAACTGTCCTGCTATGTCTGAAAGTGTACATTCAGATTAATTAGCTTCAACTGAAAGTGAGAAAGCAAAAAGTAAAATTACTCCACAATCAGATCCAATGAATTTAGCTCTTTGCAACCAGATACTTCTCAACCTAGCTTAAGACTTTGCTATGATGTCAGTCTTTTGATTTTTCTTCAAACCTGATATTCTAGAACTCTCAAAGCGCACCCCTCTGCGCACTCTCCCAGGCAAGTGTACACCTTAAGCCTAGTGCTTTGTCTCCTGTGCGTTTCCTTGTAGTTATGCCCTGTGCGTGCTCTCCCAGGTATCTGTAGGCCTTGAGCCCAGTGCTGTATCTTCTTTGTCCTCTCTGCATTTCCTTGCAGGCGTGCTGTCTGTTGCCTCCCAGGTGAGGTGTGGCTCTGACCCCCATGCTCTGTTTATATATTCTCTATCCCTGGTGTGTTTACTTGCAGATCTGTTTTTTTCCTCCCAGGTAAATGTGGACTGCAAGTCCCACTTGCTGTCCATATGCTCTCTATCCCTGGTGCATTTCTTCACAGGCCCACATTCTGCTTTCTCCCCCAACCTAAGCTGAAGTTTATGAAAGCAAAATTGTTTTAAAATAACTAACTTAGACAATGAACTACTGATATATCGTATTTAATGCCTGTGTTATTCTCTCCCATAGTGTATTCCTCAACAGAAAAACGATAGTGACTGTGGTGTGTTCGTTCTTCAGGTATGGTAACTTAACAATTTCTAGGATTTGATTGTGAAAAGAGGTTGTGATGCAAGGTGACTTGTAAAATATTCAAAACCTGTGAAGGCTGAGAATGGTTCCAAGGTGGCAAGGATTGAATAAAAACCGAAAGAACTGCAGATGCTGTAATCAGGAACAAAGACAAAGTTGCTGGAAAAGCTTAGCAGGTCTGTCAGTATCTGTGGAAAAAAAACCGCGTTAATGTTTCGGGTCTGAGGAAGGGTCACCGGACCCAAAAATGTTAACTCTGTTTTTTCCTTCACAGATGCTGCCAGACCTGCTGGGCCTTTCCAGCAACTTTGTTTTTGTAGCAAGGATTGAAACCTCTTTATAGATGCAGAAAAGCCACAAACAGATTATCCAGGATCATGGTTGGCGGAATTTCTTTGTCTTTCAGGACACGTGTAGTGGATTTCAAATGAACTTTGTTTTTTGAATATATATGAGGTTCAAAATGGCTACTAGTCCAAATAAATGGTTACCACCTTCTTTGGAAGAAAAGTGGATAACCTTTCATTTGCATATTGCCATGTCAAAGCTCTGTAAAACATCCCAAAGCACTTTGCCCACTGTGTTCTATTTCATCATCATAGAATCTCATTAGTGTGGAAACAGGCCCTTCGGCCTAACAAGTCCACACCGACCCTCAGAGCATCCCACCCAGACCCATCCCTGTACCCACCTAATCTACACACCCCTGGAGTGCTTTTGAAGTGCTTTTATTAGGGAAGCAGTTGAGAAAGCCTAAAATTAATAAACTGCAGACTGATTTAATGCTACAAAATTGATTCTGCAGCTTTGTAGTGTTAGAAAATGTTTTAATGCTGTTTGTGGTCAAAATAATGGCGAAGCTTTAGTTGTTTATAATCAGATATTACTGATGCAAAATGTTGAAAATATAAGCATCTGAAAGAATCAATTTTGAAATATTACAAAGCTATCTTTTTTATTTTCAGATGCAACAGACCTGCATTTTTTAAACTGATCAACATAAAATAGTTGGTTAAATGTTTCCTATGCAAGCATATTAGAGGAAATTGAGTGCTGGAAATCTGGACTCAATCTACCATTTGTAACATTAAACCTATGTTTTGATGCCAAATAATCACCATATTTCTGAAATAGGAAGATATTACTGTAATTCCACTAAAATATGGACTTCAATAAGCCATAAATTTTTAGCTTTTAAAATCTGTTCCAACTTCACTCCCTATAGCACCATCTTGAAAGGCATGTTATTATAAACTAGTTAGAATCTGATGACTTTGGCATGATTTTCTGCAAAGTTTAAATAAACATTAGTGTTTCTGTCCAGTATCTCCGTTTGCTCTGAAACAACATTAAGTAATATTTGCTTTTTGTCTGTTTTGTTTTAATTTTTTATTGTTAAAGAGCAGAGAGTCAGAATTTGACCTAGTTACATCGTTGAAGTGACCATGTAAAGCATTCAGGCTATCATCACAAGGAGCTGGTGATGTGAAACAAGTGGCTTCAGTGAAAGACCACAGAATTTACCTTTATTTTCAACCTTGTGTAGCAAACCTGACTTGTATTGATTACGTTGACAATAGCAGGTAGCTGTGACAGGCTGCATTGCGGTGAATCAGTTTTGGTGCATCTCAGCCATAAATTAGGAATAAAAGAACTGCTTAGAATTGACTTGCCGTTTTAGATTCATGTGCCAAAGGTTGTTATTTGAGCTTTTAATTTGAGGGAGACCATCTTCAAGAAAGATTAAAGTACAAACTTTTGTTGGCCTGCCTGGAATATCTAAGCTCGTGGAAAATTCAGACAAGAGGATTGAGAAATGGTTCACTGTAATGAATGATTTGTTAAGGTTTATTATAGATGAGTACAATAATGTGATGAGAATTTAACCTACCCTAGTATTTGGCTGTATGTACTAAACCCAAATGGTACATTTCAGTTTGGTGCATCAGCTTAGCAGCATTGTGTCTCTCACGATTATGATTAAAGTCCCAGACCACTGCAGTGTAACTGCCATGAACATCCCTTCTATTGTTCCATGTTACAGAAGCAATGACAGGGACTTATTCCAGTTATCTAGCCAAAGTTCTCCTTCAGCAACACCACCAAAAAAGGAATTAGTTAATTTGTTGTATTGCTGATCCCTCATTTTTGCAGTATGCAACATAGATGTCACATGATCTTCTGTACTATTTATACACGTTTCTGCAAATGTGCTAGGGTACTATATAAATACTGTCTTTCCTGTCTTGGTTCCTCTGTTCTTTGTTGAATTGGTGTGTCAAGCTGGTGGTACGTTTTCCCATTTTCTACAAATATTTCCACTTGCCAATTTTTTATATATAGAATTTATGTGCTGACATCATATTTCCATTGCCTTTCTAGTACTGCAAGTGCCTGGCTCTAGGAAGACCATTTCAGTTTTCTCAGAAAGATATGCCTGAAGTAAGAAAACTGATCTACAGAGAACTGTGTGAGTGCAAACTTATGGAGTGAGCTGCCAGGTGATTGAGACTCCTCCCGGGAAATTGCATTCCAGGAAATTGGTGTGACCAGTTCCGTTACATGATGTACAGAAATCAGGGAGGAAGTACTGAAGGCACAGTTGGAGTGTTTACCTCTTTCCGGGTGCATGCATGGCCTGAGCACATTCAGACTTAATAAAAGCACAACTTTGCTCGATTGGCCTGTTGCTGACAAATTGCATGTAGCAGTAGAGTAAAAATTTAGACTTCCTTTTTGTCTGCATATTTTGAGACCCTCTAAAGTAAAGGAAGTAGTTAAATTTACATTAATTTAAGAGGAAAACTGAAGTCTTAGTGTAGAAATTGTTCCAGGTATTATTAAGTGAGAATCCCCTCTTTGTATCCACTGGGGAGATTTTCACTTTTTCCACAGATGTTTAATGACCATGAGGTCATTGTATTAAGCTGCAGCATGTTTAAAAGTGAAGATAGTTTCATTAACAAGAAGACAGTAACTCTGGGGTCAGTACTGTGAATTCCAGAGGCAATGATCACAGTTGGACATCAATGCTAAAATTTAACCTGTTTTAACCCAAGGCATATTTTCTTTAAAATTGTTTCTGAATTTTTCTCTCACATGTTCGATGGGGGTGCTTCTTCAGTTTATTAGTAAAACAATGGAATGGATTTTCTGGAGTAAAATGGTTATTATTTGATCCTTAAGTTAGTGAATGTGTTTGCTTTGCTTTATACTGATGAAAAGCCTTTTCCCTTTCTGCTTAAACAAAAGTATTATTCTTTTGTTGTTTATATCAGCTATCTCAAAAGGTTTTCTCTGGAAAATGAAAAACTAAAAATCAGGCTCAGTGTAGAAGTTCTTTCATTTTAAACATCAAGTATCAAGGCATGCTTAGGTATTACAAACTTGGGTACTGCCAACCTTTTAGTTTTAGCGCATTGTTTGACTGTGAACATTGCTGGCTAGGATTGGCATTTGTTGTCCAGCCCTAAATTGGCTCAAATGATGGATCTCCTTGAACTGCTAGTGATTTGATACAACTGAATTGGGATGAGACCACAGTCACATATAGAACAAACTAGAAAAGGACCCACAGGTTTGTTACTGGGTTTTTTAAGTTGTCAATCTAACACCTTCATACTCATTTTACTGCTACTTTTTTAACAAAATTTGCAAATGGCCATGATGGGATTTCACTCATGCTCAGAATAAATAATACAACCATTACACTACTGTACTTTTATAGTTCCATTTTATTTAATATTTTTGACTGGTCAAATCATGTGATTTTTAACCTAGAAAACTAGTATCTGACCAATGTTAACTTTTAATTTTGCCTTTCTAAAACTAAAGGATGGAAACTAAAACTAAGTGCAGAAATTTTTAAATAAATGGGTTAAGTATTTGAGGGTGAGAATGTTTCTAGATGTGCTCAGTTTTGAAATATAGGGGAAAATGTAGACAGCTAACCTCACACTGTGCTCTGCAACAATACTGCAAATAGATTTCAGATTTTCAGTGTTTGATTTTTTTTTTTTCTCCTGTAGTTAAATCTTCTAAAATTTTGCCCTTTAACTTTGCTGTCTGAACCCAGAGTAAATCTAGAATGTGTATATTCAGTGCTTTGGTAAAGTATGTATTCCATTGCAACATGAAATTGTCCCAATTACTTGAAATGAAGTCTGTAAGTGAAAAATGATTAAAACTTCCTTCTTATAATAGTTTAATGCCTCTTGTTAAGTATTTCAATTAGAAACAGATCTTTATCTTACTTAACTGTTGGATACTTGCAGATGGAAGTTCTGGTTATGATTCTGAAAATAAACTGCCTTATCTTGGTACTGTGGTTTCTCACTCCTTAAAGGAACTTTAATCTAGAATTTTCAAACCCTCGTTGGCACCATGTAGTTGTGCTCAACCTGCATTACGGTATTGAGCAATGGCTGTGCACCATAGGGCTAGTACGTTTTTTAGGTGGGTGCAGTGATGCAATTAAATATTTATAACAGCTGTTTTGTACTGAGGTAGAACCATCTTCCTACGTTATCTTGTGCTGTATCCAGAACACCACCAAGTCTTTTACAGATTAGGAGATGAAAGATGTGTTAAATTATAAACATTAGTGCAATAATAGAAGCTGTGAGTAAAGTAGGAGACTTTTTTTTTAAATTCCTGCAAGGAGAGCTGTTGTAATAAGTTCTGTGTTATGGAGATTGGATAATAAAGTATTTGAGGATGATCTAACCCTTTTTTACTGGCTTCTTTATCCTCCCTACATGTTTTCCTTTCCTTTGATGTGCAGTGTGATGCTCCTTTTGGGAGGTTTTTTTTTGCCTACTTTGTTGACACCCAGGAGATTTTTGTTAATTAATTGTGCTGTATATAACGGAGTAAAGTAGAACACAATGCCAAGATGTATTTGTGTAATGCTGTCATCCATGTAATTAAGTTACCCTAAATCTGAACTATTAACATGACAAATATAAAAATACTGTATGTTTTTGAAGTCTATGCATATTAATTTCAACGCTTTAAATGGTAGTCTCGTACATATGGAAGAAAATTGTCTTGTAAGAGTTATTAAATTTCCTTGATACATGCAGCCAGTTTGTTACTGCATGAATTCCCTGCAATTGATAATGATGGTCTAATCTTTACAATAACTTGTGAAATTGTTTGAAGTGTTATCTCCAGATGAGCATCTCTGATCCTTCAAAGAAAAACTATACTTTCTCCTCATCAATCATCATTGTGCAATATGATGTAATTGTTACAAATCTCTCATTGTAGCTAATACTGCTCAAGTTGTAATTATCACTCAGAATATATGCTCATGGCTTGTCTATGTTTGCAAACTGATATTGAGCAACAAAAGCACTGAGGAGGCTAGTCTTTCTGCCATGTTATTTTAATGTTAACTATTTGAAAAAGAGGAATAGGTTTCTGAGCAGTTAAGTGGGGAAATAAATGCATATTTGCCCTCCTGGTGTCAAGCTGATAATTTTGCTGTTAACATAACAGCAAGCCACACAGTTTCAGGGCATATGGCATGTACCTTGTACTTTTTAAAAATGGGAACATGTTTTCAGGTAAGGCTTATTTTTATTTGAAAAATAAATTTGAGGGTGAATTTACATTAACTGGCTGTCTTAAGCAGTAAACACAAAAAAGCAATTTCTCATCTTGCAGGAATATGGGGGAGAAAAATTCAGTTATATAAAACTTATTGCAACTACTGGATGTCCCAAACCATAACTAATGAAATACTTTTGCATTGCTGTCACTGTTGTAATATACAATTATATGGTGTTCAGTCACTCGGCATTCCATTTGACAATGGAATCCTTTCACACATATCAATTGTCACTTCCCATTGTTGACTGCAGGTTGAGAATCCAAAATTTAGCTTTGGAGGAGACTTCGCCAGTGCCCTTATGCAGTAGGTAGAAGGTTCTTGCACCTGATTTGGATGAGGGCACAGACTGCAGGGAAAGTGAGCAAACTGACTGTAGCACTGTTGACCACAGTGTTATTCATCTGGGGCAGAGAAAATAGAAATGTACAATGATGGGGAATATTATAGATCGGGGAAGGGATACTGTTCTTTGCAACAAAACAAACAGTCCCAAAGACTGTTTAACCAGTGCTTTAACCAAGGCAGTGGATGGCGCTTTAAACTAACTAGTTAGTAGGGGGTTTCTTGAAGGAAAGTTTTAAAATTGAAAGAAATAAGACAGCAGACTTGCAGTGTAGTGAAACAGTGAATGATAAAAGCACACGAGTGCAGCAGAAATTAGAACCAGAGAGTAGCACATTACATTTGCAACAAGGTGGATGCATTAACACAAATAGAAATAAATGCATGTGACTTGATAGCTGTTATAGCGACCTGGTCACAGGATCACCAGGACTGGAAACTCTTAATCAAGTATGTGACATTCCAAAAGAATAGGCAAAAAGGAAAAGAGGATGGGGTAGCCTTCCTAAAAATGGAGCGTGTCAGTGCAGTGGTAAGTAGTTTGGTTGGACGTAAGGAATGGCAAGGAAAAGAATTCTTGAGGTTGTAGACTTTTAACTGAGCTGGTGTGCTGGGTGACATCATCAGTGGGCCCGCGGTGAAGCATTGATGTTCTGTTCTGCTTTGCTTGTTTTTTATAGGCCTGTTTGCTGGGGTGGTTTTCAGTGGTTTGTGTATTGGGTCCAGTTCAATGTCGATGGCTCGGCAAGCAAGTCTACAACCTCATCCACAACCAAGCTACAAAGCTTTTCAACAACTTTAAGAATTTATGGGTGGGAGTCATCAAAAGGCCCACAAAGAGATGCCTCCCTGTAGGACTATATATTAACAGGAAATGGTACAAGTATGTAAGAAGGGCATGATCATTATGGATGATTCTAACCGGATTTTCACTGGTTAAATCAGGTAAGTATGACATCAAAGGTGAATTTGTACAGCAGGGATTGTGTCTTGGAACAGTACATTGTAGAATCTACCTGAGAACAGACTATTTAATCCACCTCATTACACATTACTAGATAAGAGATTTCATAGTTAAGGGTCCTCTAGGATAGCAATCCCAAGTTTGAAAACGTTTCTTCTTCAAGTGTGTCCGGATTCAATTATTAAAGTTACCTACTGAATCTATTCCACCATCCTCTTAAGTAACGTAGTTCAAATCATAACTCCTGATTTTTATGGTGAAGACGTTTCTCCAAAGATCAAGAATCCTTCAATCTATTAAAACCTCAAAGGTTTCTAACCCAAAAAGGAGAACAATTAAACCTTCTCTGCTCTCAGAATGATTGCAGTCCCTCATCTCTGGTACCATGTTCTTAAAATCTTTTGTCTTTAGGACTTGAGGAAGAACGGCAGTGTTGTGCTCATAATTCAACATACCATTTCAGCAGAAGGCTAACCTAGTGAGACATCTTTGAGGAGCTGCAATTGTTGTTTGTACTCCTACAGCACAGGATTTTTGACCTATCACAATAAGTAGATGCTACATCAGAAGCCACTGGTAAAAGGAGGTCCCTACTGCCTGTATCACCCCTCTGTAACTTGCACTGGTCTGCTGCTCCCCTCTCCTAGAGTTGCAGGTACATCAGCCACAACTGTGGAAGCCAATACTGGTCATCTTTTTTTCTCAAGGAAACAGTGCTTGAGTAGCACTTGTGCTGTATGAAAGAGCTTCCAATCTAAGTTTAAATGATGTCTTGTGAATACTGAGTAAATATTTGCATATTTCTGTCAAGGCTCAGCTCCTGTCCATTACTGGTATCTTATTTTCACTGAGTTCCAGGAATCTTGAGCAGCCAATTCTAATGAAGTTAAGTCAAACTTCAAAACCCACATGAATAGCACTATAATTAAGTAATTAACATTAAAATTAACAACTCACCTCTCCTATGGAGGCTGACAGATTCAGAGCAAAGGTTCTCCTACTTGTATACTTTAAAAAGTCCACATTAAAACAACATCCAAATTTTCCATTTGCCACAGCATAGATCGGAATTGTCACCTATTAACATGGGGATTTTGGTGGCTTTTAAAATTTTAAATTGCTATCTTCTTGCATAAGGAAAGAAAAAGAGGTTTGCAACTTCCTTTTGTATCAGTTGACTCTTGGTTAAGAAGACAACTTTTAAAAATGCAGGCATTTATTCAGTTTTTATTAGGATTGACAAAAATTACAACTTTACAAGAAATAAAAGTTGAACAGTGATTTCACCTCAGAAGCTGGGCACCTTTCTTCTGCAAGCGTAAAAATAAACTCAATAGACCTATGGAAAGAATGAACAGCATAAAGCCACAGGCATTCAAGTATTAGCCATTTGCTTCAAACCCAAGCTTCTACAAAGATTCTAGCTTAATTATCTGAAATATATCAAGACAGCCATTGAAACTTTAGAATTTCTGTCTTGGCTCTGGAACTCTCTGCATCTGGACCAGTTTCCCAAATCCACCTCTGCCGGCATCATAATCTGTCCTGTATTCATCACGTACCTGCAGGAAAACAAAGAAATAAAACTGAATGGTGTCCATGATCTTCTAACTACAGAAGGAATGGAATTCTTGCATTCTTTTCCATCTGTTTCTGTAAAGGCATGTATCGTTGACTTGTTTCAGAATAAAGCCACTTGTTCACTGAAGAATTATGTGTCCCAACCTAGTATGCACAATTGTATACTCATTATCCAACTTCTCTTAGCATTTGGCTTCTGTAACTCCAGATATGGAAAATTGATTGAAGCTGGTGACTAATATCATGTTGCGTAGCTGTTAGCTAAACTTTAAATCAGTAGACAAGATAATATTAATGCAGACCTCTATAATAAAACAAACAACTGCACCAACATTACCCTCAGCATTGGAACATATTCATCTTTAGTTAGGACATTAATTGTTCATGGGTATTTACACCATTAGACTCCAACTACAGAACACAAACCCACAGTGCCTATGGGTATGCACTGTAACAACAGGATTAGATTGATTAATAATTCAACGAACTGAATATTAAATGTTAATGCTATTTTCAATGAATAACTGAAGACTTCTATTTCAATGAGAGGATCTTGCACTGAACTTGTATGAGTAACTAATATGAAAATGGTTAAAGATGAAAAAAGGTTTAATTTCTTCAAACAAGGGATAACTTTTTTTCCCGAATACTTAAAAGGCAAGTTGTCAACATAACAATGATAATTAATCAAAATGTAACAATTCAGAAATTAAATTTTGAAGTTAATGCCAGACCATTAGATAGATACTGTTAATACACCCTGTTACAGACCAACAGGTTAGAGGTCTAATGGTCCCAGTGAGAAATGAACAGTCACTAATACGTTTTCAGTGTGTTGTTCATCCCTGCATTTAAAAATATATCTAGAGTTCTAAACATCTACACACATGGATTCACACTTAAATTTTGCATTTCCAATATATCTGTCAATGCATTATTTAGATTTTTTAAACACTATAGCAAATAACATTAGTTGCAAAGCATCCTGGTCTCAAGGCACTTTTTGTAAACTTTTAACATCCAGTGAACCATGAAATGATTTCATCACACTATGTTCGAAACAAAGGGCAATTAAAACTCATGAATTTAACCATATAATGCTGTTCCATTCTTTATAAAACATAAATAATACAAACGATTCAGATCATGATAAGTTGTTCTAGCACATCATGACATCTTAAAATCCTCAACGTGGCTACCTTTCAAAACACTGCATTTAAGCAAGGCAGGTTTTTCCAGTTACTTTAACAGTACTAAAATTCTCAATAAAAATAAGCACACCAGATAAAAATACACTTTGATCTTGAGTCTTTATTTAAATTTTACAAGATGCGATTGCATACACCATATTAGAGAAACTACGTACCTGACCGCCAGATTTGCCTCGTCCAAATTGCCTGCCTTCTCTGAAACCAGTATCCCAATCTGTTCTGATGATCCGATCATCCAAGCGTGTTCCATTAATAAATCTCATGCATTGCTCAGCATCAGCTCGTGTGTAATATCTAATTAACTCATTAAGGATAAACCACCACTTACTTAAACTAAAACTACAGATGCTGGAGATTTGAAACAAAAAAGAAAGCAAAATTCTGGAAAAGCTCAGGTGGTCAGGCAGCATCTGGAGAGAAAACAGAGTTAACATTTTGAGAAAGAGTCACAGGACTCAATTTAACATGGTTTATAAAAGGGAAATCATATTTGAACGATTTATCGGAGTTCTTTAAAACAAAAGGGATCTGGCAGATGTATTTATTGCAGAAATAAAAGCTCGTATAGGGGTAACATTGGCAGGGACAGAAGATTGGTTGGCTAACTGGAAACAGGAGACATTAATGGACAATTTTCTGGACATACAAGGATAGGAAAGTAAATTGAATCGGACTCGAGGCTACAAAAGAGTTATAAAATTGGTTAAGTGGGCAAAGATCTGGCAAACCAAGTAGGAGGTGTGAAAATGTGAAACTGTCCATTTTGTCAGGAAGAAGAAAAAAAAAATTCTGACAGGAAAGGGATTGTAGAGTTGAGATGCAGAGGGATATGGTATCTGTGTGCACAAAATCTCAAACTGTTAATATGCAGGTATAGCAAGTAATCAGATAAGCTAGTAGAAAGTCATTGTTTATTTCAAGGAAATGTAATACAGAAGTGGAACTAATGCTGCAGTTACACAGGGTATAGGTGAGACCGTATCCAGAGTACAATGTATAGTCTTGGTGTCCTTAATTAAGGAAGGACATAAATGAGTTAGAAGTGGTTTACTAGAGTAATACCTTGAATGGGTGGGTTATCTTATGAGGAATGATTGGACAGACTACATTTGTACCCATTGAAGTTTAGAATCACAGCTTGGTAGAAACACACGAGATCCTGAGAGGTCTTGACAGGCGTATGTGGAAAGGATGCATTGAAAACTCATCCCTCACACCCCCTCCCCGCAATAATAACAAAAACAGAATCACCCTTGTCCTCACGTACCCCACCAACTTCTGGATCATCCTCCGGCACTTCAGCCACCTGCAATCTGACCCCACCCTTATCTGCCTTCCAGAGGGACCACTCTCTCCGTGACTCCCTTGTCCACTCCACACTCCCCACCATCCCCAGCACTTTTCCCTGCAACTGCAGGAAGTGCTACACCTCCCAATTCAGCCCCATCCCAGGCCCCGAGAAAACCTTCCACATCAAACAGATGTTCACCTGCACATCTGCTAATGTGGTATACAGTATCCACTGTTCCCGATGTGGCCTCCTCTACACTGAGGAAATCAAGCGGAGGCTTGGAGACCGCTTTGTGGAACACCTACGCTCAGTTCGCGTCAAACGACTGCACCTCCCAGTTGCGAACCACTTCAACTCCCCCTCCCACTCCTTGGACGACATGTTCATCCTGGGCCTCCTGCATTGCCACAACGATGCCACCCGAAGGTTGCAGGAACAGCACCTCATATTCCGCTTGGGAACCCTGCAGCCCAATGGTATCAGTGTGGACTTCACAAGCTTCAAAATCTCCCCTCCCCCTACC